GGTGCTTCCTACATGCTGAGGCTTGGGGTCCGCCACTGAGCCTCGCGGTCCCCCAAACCCGCAAAGACGGAACAGAGAGCGGTGTCTCCGCGTCACACGGGGACCAGGACTGTTGTTCCAGGACGCACGGCACCGGGACGGGCACCGGGATGGGCACCGGGACGGGCACAGGGACGGGCAGTGAGATGGGCACTGGCACGGGCACAGGGACGGGCACAGGGACGGGCAGTGAGACGGGCACTGGGACGGGCTCCGGGAAGGGCACCAGGGACGGGGCCCCACGCGGTGCGTTCAGGCCCCGGGGCGCAGACCCCGCATGGACGAGCCGCACGCGCTGCACCAGGGAGCTTTTCCAAGTCGAAATTGACTTCTCCCTGAATGGCTGCACGTTCGAAAGTATAAAACATCATATGTACTAAGTGGCAATATTTTTATTCCTAGCATGGAATTTCAAGCCATTTATGGCCTTTTCATAGGCCATAAAATTCCTAAATATGAAAAAAGACAATCACCTAGATTTACTGGTGTGAATCCAATTTATCTCCATCTTTTAAACCTTAGAATATAGATTGCAGATACATCTGCTTCACCCTTTTCTTCCTGTCTCAGATCGGCAAGATCACCGACCGTATTTCACTTTTTAAAAAAAATTTGGCTCTGAAAACATGTACCTAAACTACTCTTGGCATAAAATTTCTAACCACAGTTTGGAATACTGAAAAGCTGGTTTGTGATGAGGCCACATTATCATCTGGGGGATACTTCGAGTACACAGCAGGTGTGACAGACCAGACAGTGTCAATAACACCCACGTGTTCAAATGAAAAATAGTTGAAATTAAAATAAATGTGACAAGTGATTCCACATTAAATTCAGTTACTAAATCCCCCTTCCTTTACACATAATGGGTTTTTAGTTTCTTACTGTATTTGTTTAGTACGGGTTGATGTAAATATATTTATTGTATATCAATTTATTTTCATTTTCTCCTTCCTTGAATTCTATGTAAAAATCCCATTCATGCTGTGGAAGAAAGTAATTTACGTTTAGACCTGAACTTGCAGGAATTACAACAAAATTTCTGAATAAGTGAAAAACAGAAAAACCACTGAAATCGAGCGTTTGATACGCTGAGATGCAGGAAGCGGTTATGGGCAGATGCTGCTCTCTGAGACGTGGGTGGACACAGTCCCCCGCCCCCTTCTCCAGCGTCACTGTGGACACGGTACACGTTAGAAGGTAGCAACACGAAGACACGGGGCTCCCGTAGTGACAGCTGTCGTGTCATTTAAACAAACAATCCAGAGATTAAGGAGCAGCGTGGAGGAACGAGTCACAGCCTCGCCCAGGAACGAGTCACAGCATCACCCAGGAACGAGTCACAGCCTCGCCCACGAGCACCCGCTGCACAGCGGCCCTGCCCCGGGCCAGGGCCCAAGCACTTTCCCAAACTGCACGTGTCCCTTAAAGACGCCACCATCCACTAAGCGTGATCCAGGCAGCAGAGAAAGAGGATGCCCTTGCCATCTGCAGGGATGTTTCCAGTTTTACTTCGGGGTCTAGAAAAGCATCATGCTGGCGTAGGGGACGGCCCTAGACACAGCTGGGCTCGAAGCGCGGCCCCAGACAGAAGAATTGAAACGCGGTGGGCACCGCAGAGCCGGCTCCTGGGCCTTAAAGAAATGGGCAGAAGTCCGTTCAGAGGAAGGTCAACCAGGCTCGTTACTGACCCAAAGCATGAGCAACAGAAAGGCGGCCACTCCAGGACACCAGCCACCATGGACGCAGGACAGATGTCTTAGGAACGTAGAAGACAGACGACGAGCTGTGTGACCTTTCGGGGGCAGGAGGGGGTGTGCTGAAGAAGCCTGGGTGACAAGAGAGGGTGAGACTATTTGCACTCAATCCGCAAGCTCGTCAAAATGAGAGACGAAGAGGGTGTGACGAAAACGGCCAGGGTGGCATCCGATAACGGCCACGAGCTGGAGAGAGGTCCGGTCACGTCCAGGAGCGCGCGCACCCTTACAAATCTCAAGAGCACGTTCCTTCACGAACCCTCCTTTTGGGCCGTTTTAGAAAAACAACGCTGCGGTCGAGCGAACTGATATTTAATATTGTTAAGTCCTGGGCGGACTTAACTGTCACACAGGTGACAGGCAAAACTGAAACCAGGCGATTGAAAGGCATTTGTTTAGACACGAAAAAAGAGATGTGAAAAGGTATATGTGAATGTAAGAACTGTTCTCAAGGCTTCCTAGAATACAAATATGCAACACAGCGATCTGATAGGGGCTTTCGAAATTGATTTTCAGAAGCGGAGACTCGTAGGAGAGTAAATTGTCGCACTGCAAGCGTGTTTTTTATAGAAAGAATTTCTAGTTATTTCAAAGTACAGCATAATTCCAGTCTAAACGATAAGACGGAAACTGCTATAAAGTGATGTCCCTTTTAAAGGTGGTTCGCGAACTACCTGGTTCTGAACGATAAGGTATCCTGCTCAGCTGTGAAGGTGATTACTGTGCGTTCTAAAGGTTTACAGTTACTGCCATAAAGAAGCAGCAAAACAGGAAAAATACTGTATGTATCATCGTGTTTCTACTGTAGCATCCGCAGATGTACATTCTGATCATTTCGAATGTGAAGATTGAGACATTCAGAAATGTGCTAACTTATAAAATTGTGATGAGATTTAGAAGGTAGCAAGTTTGTATTCTCCATGCATCCAGCCTGTGAAAGCAAAGACTATCAAACAAAGTCATTAAAAAGACGAGTATCCTAATCTGACCAAATACACAGTCTAATGGTTTTGCCTACCACTGACTGTCAAATGTGAAAGTTATAAATCATAATACAACAATTCACCTCACTGGGTCTCTGAAATTTACTGTAGCCATTTTTGTAAATCCATTAGGCAAAATTCAGAGAAGGGTCAGCTTAAACCTTGAAAAGGAAAATGATTTTGAAACACATACTAAACATGCGACTTTTAGCAAATGTTTATAGCAGAATAAATGAGACCTTTGTAGACATAGTTGGAATAACTTGGAGCCTTTTTTCTCAACTTAGTCTTTGTTTTGACTGGCAGAGTGTATGGTCTTCAAACTTTATGACTCAAAAAACAAAAAAACAAAATCTGCCAACCTGTCACTCTGACTGGAGAGCTCGGAGCAATAACGGAGATGGTAACCTGGGAGCAGGGAGCAGACCGAGGCGGGGGCACGGAGCTGGGTCGCTCGCCAGGAGCACGGGAGTCACAGAACATGCAGGTATTAGATGCATGAGCGTTTAGTGCATAGTGGCTCATCATGCTCACTACAGTGCAGGGTCCCCAACCCCCGAGCCGGTACTGGTCTGTGGCCACACAATGAAAGGTGAGCAGTGGGAGAGCCAGCGAAGCTGCATCTGTGTCTGCAGCCGCTCCCCAGCGCCAGCATCACCGCCTCAGCTCCGCCTCAGATCATCGGGCATCAGAGTCTCACAGGAGCACTGGTCCCTGGTGCCGCAAAGGCTGGGGACCGCTGTTACAGAGATTACACAGGGCAGTCCTTATTTTTGAAAAGAAAAAAAAAATGTTGAACACATCGTTCACTGTTATTAAACAATAACTGT